GATACCATACCCAACCACTCCGTGGTGGACGTGGTCGCAGTCGTGGTCGTGGACGCGGTCGTGGCTGTGTTTGGACTCGAGATGGTGGGCGAGGTCATGGTGATAACGTCTCGGGAGGTCGTAGCGAGAACTTGAACATTGAGGTGGATCGTTCAAATCGACGCGATTCACATCCACAACCTAAAGAGCAGAAGCAGGTTTGCTTTAGATGTGGATGCGATAATCATTGGTCCCGCACATGTCGTACTCCTCGGCATCTAGTTGAGGCCTATCAAAGAATGCTCAAGGAGAAGAAAGGAAAGGCTCCTCAAGGTGAATCACATCATGCTAGTTTGCCTGAAGCAAATTTAATTTTCAATGCTGATGATGATGATTTATTGAAGCTTGAGCTCGAGGACTATGGTGATGATGTGTGATTAATATGCATTCTATCTTAGAACTAGATCTTTTTATTTCGTGGTTTATTTCTTGCTATTAGACAGTTCTGATTTCTTTTGCTTCGCCACACATTTGTGGTTTGTTTTTGCTATTGGTATGTTTTCAAACGTTATGTTTTAATTGGGACTTCATGATTGCTTTGTTTGCTTACAATGTTTTACTTTTCTTTTAGTGTACCACAACCATTCATTAGTTTGCATCTTATGGAGAAATAGGGCATTTTATGTCTGGTCGACAGTGCTACTACGCACACTATTTTGAAAGATAGGAAATTTTTTCAAACTTTAAATGAAAAGAAAGGGAGCGTTTCTACAATTGCTCATGATAAAATCATGATAGTAGGCTCCGACAGAGCTTTACTTACTCTTCCTAAGGGCACCGAATTAATTATTAACGATGCGCTTTTATACCCTGAATCACAAAGAACACTCTTTAGTTTTAAAGATATTCAATCTAATGGTTTTCATCTTGAAACTAAGATTCAAAACAATATAGAGTATCTTCTAGTGACTCATTCACAAGGCAGTCAAAAGAAAATTGTAGAAGAACTTCCCTCTTTCTCCTCAAGCTTGTACCATACTTACATTCGACCTTCTGTTAATCATGTTGCATTGAGCTTAAAATTTAAAGACCCAAATTCATTTCAATTATGGCATGAGCGATTGGGTCATCCTGGGCTTAGTATGATGCGTCGGATTATTTCTACCTCTATTGGGCATACCGTATCTAGCAGCAATCTCCCTTCTTTTAATGAATTCATTTGTGATGCTTGTGCAAAGGGAAAATTAATATTAAGATCTTCACGCACTAAAGTTGGAATTGAATCTCCTATGTTCCTTCATAGGATTCAAGGTGATATATGTGGTCCTATTCATCCAACTTCGGGACCTTTTCGATACTTTATGGTATTGATAGATGCTTCCACTCGATGGACATATGTATGTTTATTATCCACTAGAAATCAGGCTTTTCCAAAGCTCCTTGCTAAAATTATTGAATTAAGAGCTCAATTTCTTGATTATCAAATTAAAACTATTAGAATGGATAATGCCGGTGAATTTACATCGAAAGCTTTTGATGATTACTGTATGTCAATGGGCATCAAAGTGGAGCATCCGGTACCTTATGTCCACACACAAAATGGTCTAGCCGAATCACTCATTAAGCGCATCAAATTAATTGCTAGACCATTGTTACAAAATTCCAATTTACCAATTTCATGTTGGGGACATGCAATTTTACATGCTGCTGCCCTAATTCAAATCCAACCAACTGCATATCATAATTACTCCCCTTTACAACTAGTGCGTGGTAAAGAACCTAACATTTCCCATCTGCGAGTATTTGGTTGTGCAGTCTATGTTCCCATATCACCACCACAGTGTACCTCTATGGGCCCTCATAGAAAGCTAGGTATATATATTGGCTATGAATCTCCGTCTATTCTAAAATACCTAGAGCCCATGACTGGGGATCAATTTACAGCTAGGTACGCTGACTGCATATTCGATGAAGAGAATTTTCCGGCATTAGGGGGAGATAAAAGCCCAAACTTAAATAAATGCCGAGAAATTTCTTGGAATGTAGAAAATCTACAATATTTAGATCCACGCACTAATCAAACTGAACTTGAAGTTCAAAAGATAATTAATTTGCAATATTTAGCAAATAATCTGCCAGATGTATTTACTGATCATAAAGGAGTGACCAAATCTCATGTACCTTCAATAAATGCTCCACAACGTGTGGAAGTCCCCATAAAATCTAATAATCCTGCAGATGCTCCATGCCAGAAGCGTGGTAGACCCGTTGGTACAAAAGACAATAATCCGCGAAAAACGAAATCTAATAAGAATATTGAATCACACCCGAAATCTCCAGAAGAGAATCGTCCAGAAGGCGAAAATCCTAGTTTAAATGCACGTGCAACAAATAATAAAAATACTAGGATTGCGGAACATCCAGATCAAAATATATTGGGAAATGATGAAGATCTGGTTGATGTAAATATTGAAGTGGCTATGAATTTTGTTGATACAGGAGAAACTTATAATAGAAGTAACATAGTCGTCGACGACACATTTGCCTCTATAGTTGCCTTTACCATCTCCAATAATCTGGATCCAGAACCAAAATCAATTGTAGAGTGCCGGAAGCGCTCCGATTGGGTAAGATGGAAAGAGGCAATTGAGGCTGAACTAGACTCGCTAAATAAACGAAAAGTTTTTGGCTCTATTGCGCGTACACCTCAAAATGTTATCCCAGTAGGATATGAATGGGTGTTCGTGCGAAAGAGAAATGAAAATAATGACGTGGTGAGATACAAAGCGAGATTAGTTGCTCAAGGGTTTTCGCAGAGACCCGGAATTGATTTTGATCAAACATATTCTCCTGTAATGGATGGAATAATGTTCCGCTATTTGATATCTCTGGCAGTAATGCAGTTAATGGATGTCGTTACCGCATATTTATATGGGTCATTAGACACAAATATATATATATATGAAAATCCCTGAAGGATTAAAGGTTCCCGAAATAAGAGAAAATGAAACGCGCAACATGTATAGCATTAAATTACAAAAGTCATTATATGGCTTAAAGCTGTCGGGTAGAATGTGGTACAACCGGCTGAGTGAGTTTTTGTTGAAAAATAATTATGTGAATAACGATGTGTGCCCCTGTGTGTTTATGAAGAAGTCAACGAATGGCTTTTGCATCATTTCAGTTTATGTCGATGACATAAATATAATTGGCACACGAGAGGAGCTTGATAAAGCTAGCTCATGCCTAAAGACTGAGTTTGAATTGAAAGATTTGGGTAAAACCAAATATTGTCTCGGCCTGCAGGTCGAGCATCTCCCTGAAGGAATATTTGTACACCAGTCAACCTACTTGAAGAAGGTTTTAGAAAAATTCTACATGGATAAATCTCATCCACTTAGCACACCAATGGTTGTCCGATCTCTTGAAGTGGATAAGGATCCATTTAGACCTAAAGAAGATACCGAAGAAACTTTAGGACCAGAAGTTCCTTATTTGAGCGCCATTGGCGCGTTACTTTATCTTGCAAATTGCATCAGGCCTGATATTGCATTTGCAGTAAACTTGCTAGCAAGGTTTAGTGCTTCTCCTACGAGGAGACACTGGAATGGTATTAAACATATTTTTAAGTATCTTCAAGGTTCACAAGATCTTGGTTTATTTTATAAGAAAAATCAAGATATGACATTGGTGGGCTATTCGGATGCTGGTTATATGTCTGATCCCCATAATGCTAGATCACAGACTGGTTATGTTTTTCTTTGTGGTGGTACTGCAATCTCTTGGAAGTCGGTCAAGCAGTCCATGGTTACTACATCTTCAAACCATTCAGAAATAATTGCTTTATACGAGACTTCACGCGAATGTGTATGGTTAAGATCTTTAATCTAACATATTCGTGGATCATGTGGAATGACAAATGATATAACCCCCACTGTCCTTTATGAGGACAATGCAGCTTGTGTTTTACAAATGAGTAGTGGGTATGTCAAAGGAAGCATGACAAAACACATTGCTCCAAAATTCTTTTACCCACACGAGCTCCAGAAGAGCGGTGAGATTATTGTACAAAAGGTAAGGTCTAGCGAGAACTTGGCAGACCTATTCACCAAATCCCTTCCTACATCTACTTTTGAAAAATACATTTATGGTATTGGTATGCGTAAACTGGGAAGACTATTGTCTTCAGGGGGAGGGAAAAACTCAAAATAATCTTGAAGATTAGGTCTTGAAGACCAAATGTTGTACTCTTTTTTTCCCAATGAGTTTATTAGGTAAAGGTTTTTAACGAGGCAGCTAGTAAAACACATGAATTTTCATAAATCATGTACTCTTTTTCCCTTGCCTAATTTTTTTTTTCCCCTGTTGGGTTTTTAATTGCAAGGTTTTTAATGAGACATGTAGTAATGTCCAAGGGGGAGTGTTATAAATATATTAATATGGACATTACTAATATATAATTGGGCCTGAAGTCCATTAGTTAGTAGGATTAAGTTTTAGGGTTTCTCTCTTGTAAACTCTATAAAAAGAGTGAACAGCGATGAATAAGACATAGACTTTTTTGCTTCTCTTTTCTCGTTTTTTTACTGCACCTCTTTTATGATTGATGGATGTTCGGTGAATATTGAGGACTCCAATTTACAACATATGGAACTATTGTTTTAACCTCTAAATCATCTATCTTATACTAACTACATATGTATCCAACGGTTATAACTCCCGACGGGATGATTTCGTAACGAGACCATAGCATTTCCCGCATCTTTGCTGAGTAATTTTCTCTAGTAAATAAAGATTTGGGCCCAACAGGATCACACCGATGTCATTAATATTATAATCATCATAATCATGGCAGACGTCAGTGATTTTGTTTTATTCTCTCTCCGTGCTATTCCTACTGTTAGTGACAAAGTGACGGTGCAGAGCACTATACCCCACAGAGAGATTCCGTCCAAGAGCGATTATTGAACCTTAAACATCGGAAAGTTTGAACCAGAAATTTTGAGCAGAAGAGGGGTAAAATGGCTCGGAGAGTTTCTACACTCATTCTCTCTCTTTGCTTCTCGTTTATTTTCGGCGCAATCTCATCCGAGAAAGAAGAATATGACCCCACGACCAAAACCATGGAGGCGTTTTCAGGTTACCAAATTCACGAGCCTCCATTGGAGGGTTCTTTTTCTTCACTCGCAGTAGACATTGAAAGTCTGCAGGGACAGGTAATTTTTTTTGTTTTCCCGCAATTTTTGTGGGTTGATGTATTTGTTTCTGTGCTCGTGATTTTGGTGAGGTGTTGTTGAAAAGGTTTGATCTTTTTTTTTTTATTCTTGAAACTGGGTGAGT